TTGTCTTCACTACTCTACTAGCCTGTGTTGTAATTTTGCCTAGTGCTTGATCAGGACCTGTTATCAACACATCTTCACTGACAAGTAAGTCTGAGTCATTAATACCTGAATTGGTCAAAGCAGGTTCTGCAGATACACTGTCACCATCAGACGTTCTTGTGCTTGAAGAATAGTTGTAGTTTTTTTTATTACAGCCCTTAGAGCTCTTCTTACATTTTATATTAACATTATGGTATGGTGAGCATGTTAAACAGTTCTCAAGATTCATGTGTTAATGAATACCTCCTTACAATACATCTGTTGTGAATTGGAATGTATTTGCCAGGGCCTAGAAGATAGTTTTATCTGTGTGCTGAACTTGGGTTAGCAGCCTGGGTAAGCTGCTTTAAGAAAGGGCTTTTGTGGTATGTAGTTGAGTTGAGGACTGAACGTTGAAGGGATAACAAAGAGTTGGGTACTGAACGTTGAAGGGACAACACCTAGTTGAGGACTGAACATTTAATGGACAGCACCTGTGCATGTACATGAAGCTTCAATAAAACTATTCCTCTTCTCCAAGTTTGTGCCTGCTTGCATCGTCATTAAGAAGAAAACCAGAGGATTACTTCACAATCCATCAATTGCATTGTCGGCAGGATATGACTGAGAACCAGTGAGTATTGTTCAACAGGAAGAAAACAAAGCGCGCACACCATGGAGATAAGACATCAATCCTCCTTATTTCCTGCTGTGGAACATTTAATGCCTCAGGCCATATCAGAGTAACGTGACATGAAGTAAAGTCAAGAAAAGTTTGCAAGCAAGTTTTGGGTGGCTGTTATACTGCATGCATAAGAAAAAACCTTAAGCTTAAGTGAGAATGCTTCCTGGTGAAGATTCCATGAATAAATCTGGATTCGGTAGTGTTGAATGCTGGATTGCTGAATGTTGAATTGCTGTGATGGGGAGAGAGCTGTGATTGCAAGTGACACTGCAAAAGGAGCTCAGTGAATTCAAGCATGGTACCGTGATAGGTTGACACCTGTGCAATAAGTTCATTCGTGAAATTTCCTCACTACTAAATATTCCACGGTCAACTGTTAGTGGTATTATAACAAAGTGAAAGCAATTGGGAACAACAGCAACTCAGCCACGATGTGGTAGGCCACATAAAATCACAGAGCGGGGTCAGCGCATGCTGAGGTGCACAGTGTGCAGAAGTCGCCAACTTTCTGCAGACTCAATAGCTAGACCTCCAAGACCTCCAAACTTTGATTGGCCTTCAGATTAGCTCAAGAACAGTGCGTAGAGAGCTTCATGGAATGGTTTTCCGTGGCTGAGCAGCTGCATCCAAGCCTTACATCACCAAGTGCAATGCAAAGCGTCGGATGCAGTGGTGTAAAGCACGACGCCACTGGACTCTAGAGTAGTGGAGACGTGTTCTCTGGAGTGATGAATCACGCTTCTCTGTAATCCAATGGACGAGTCTGGGTTTGGCAGTTGCCAGGAGAACGGTACTTGCCTGACTGCATTGTGCCAAGTGTAAAGTTTGGTGGCGGGGGGATTATGGTGTGGGGCTGTTTTTCAGGGGTTGGGCTTGGCCCCTTAGTTCCAGTGAAAGGAACTCTTAATGCTTCAGCATACCAAGACATTTTGGACAATTTCATGCTCCCAACTTTGTGGAACAGTTTGGGGATGGCCCCTTCCTGTTCCAACATGACTGCACACCAGTGCACAAAGCAAGATCCATAAAGACATGGATGAGCGAGGTTGGTGTGGAGGAACTTGACTGGCCTGCACAGAGTCCTGACCTCAACCCAATAGAACACCTTTGGGATGAATTAGAGCGGAGACTACGAGCCAGGCCTTCTCGTCCAACATCAGTGCCTGACCTCACAAATGCGCTTCTAGAAGAATGGTCAAAAATTCCCATAAACACACTCCTAAACCTTGTGGAAAGCCTTCCCAGAAGAGTTGAGTTATAGCTGCAAAGGGTGGGCCAACTCCATATTAAACCCTACGGATTAAGAATGGGATGTCATTAAAGTTCATGTGCATGTAAAGGCATCCCAAAACCTTTGGCAATATAGTGTATATTAGATTATATATGTACATGAGTAGTGGGATGCTGCTCTGAAGGAACTGCAAAGAGATCTCTGTCAGAAGAAGGCCTTAAAAAAGTTAATTTCTGCAGAAGTTTAAAAAGTAAATTCCTGCAGAAGTATAAAAAGTGTGTTGACACGTTTCTGTCTACGTTTGATGTCTATTCTGTGTTTCAATGAGTGTGTGAGTGAGTTTCAATTCTGTGTGAGTGAAGATGTCTAAGGTGTGAACTATTCTGAATTGACCAAGTGACTAAGAGTCATGGCAGAAGAAATTCCCAATGTTAAGCCTAACACCATGATCAGTGAGACCGATATGGCAATTGAACTCTGTGATATTGTCGAGAGTGCATCTAAGTTGATGCGAGTTGAAGAGGAAGAGGAATCTCAGACATGCAGTATAGCTCATAAATCATTGTGGAACACTCAGG